AGCCAAAACCGGAAGATCCACGATTTGAAGCGTGGGATGAGGAGGATTCGATGATCATGACATGGCTATGGAACTCCATGACTCCAGAGATTAGCGACACATGTATGTTCTTAGCCACTGCCAAGAATGTATGGGATGCAATTCAAGAAACGTACTTCAAGGCAAAATATGCTGCCCAAGTCTACGAAGTCAAAGTTAAGACGATCGCTGCAAAACAAGGAGATAAGACTGTCACTGAATATGCCGATCAAATGGAGGCTTTATGGCAAGAACTTGATCATTATAGAGTAATTAAGACCAAGTGTCCCGATGATGCAGCAATTTTAAAGGAGTTTATTTAATAAGATAGAGTTTATGATTTTCTGGTTGGACTCAATTCAGAATTTGATTTAGTTAGAATTCAGATTCTTGGTAAATAGGAAGTTTCAATGAAATGGTGGCACTCATCCGAGGAGAAGAAAGTAGAAGAGAATTGATTCTTGAACCGAAGGGGACTGACAGTTCAACTTTAGTTGCAAGAAACAGCAATAAGATAGCCACAAATGCAGAAAAAATGCCAGCGGTGAAAAATGGAAGGACTAGCCAGCCAAAGACTGAAAACTGTGACCACAAAGACACTTTATGGTGTACCTATTGCAAAAAGGCACGTCATACTCATGAGCAGTGTTGGACATTGCATGGAAAACCACCAAGCCGCGAGTGGGGACAAAAAAGAGAGCGACCAAGGAATAATGGACGAGTCCAGATTGTAGCAGTGTAACCGCATGAAGGGACATCACAAGAGATGAGAAATCTCAGCCAAGAAGAAATTGAGAGGGTGAGATCACTTATTAGCAATCTTGAAAAACCATCAGGTACTTGTTCACTGGCGTATTCAGGTAAACTTCCCTTCTCCATTGGATTAAATGTCTCGAATATAACCTTTACCAACTCTTGGATTGTTGACTTAGGAGTTACCGACCATATGACCCATTCCTCAAAATTTTTTCCTCATATACCCCCTGACCAAGTAATAGGAAAATAATCACAGCTGACGAATCATTAATTAATTTGGCAGGCATAGGTGATGTCAAGATAAGCCCGTCACTGTTATTAAAAAATGTTCTTCACGTCCCTTGGCTAACCACAAATCTTGTTTCCATCCAAAAGCTCATTAAAGATTTGTATTGTAAAGTAATTTTTAATCAGAAT